ACTATAAATCGTTGTTATTTGCATATTTTGTTGAGATTATTTATTGTTTATTGGAAAGACAACAAAAAAAATGGATTCTGCTAAGCTAATAAAAATCGATGACGTTAAGAAACAAATAATAAAAATAAAAATACCTTATAATAAATAATAATCCATTAGATTGGAATAAAAGTCCATTTCTATTGCCAGAGATGTTAATAAAGTAAATGCGGAAAAGGCAAAGAACACAGGTACTGTCTAAGTAAGGTAAGCAGGTAAGCAGACTTTGGTTATGGCGAATAACTTTGGAAGACTCTTTGATTGAAAATATTTCGGATTGTCCACAAAATTGAAAACCTCCAAGAACAAAATCATAAAAAATGGAATATATATCTCAAAAATGTTTCTAAAATTACAAAAGTATTTAAAAAATCTACTATGGGAATTCTAGAAAAAATCTGAAAAAAAAATTATTTCCCCAATACCCCTTGATTATCGATCGAAATTTGTTAAAAATTATTTTTTTTTAAAACAAGGAATGAAAAATTTTATTTAAAACCGATAATATTTGGCTCAATAAGCCTTAACAGTAATCTCTAAAATCCAAAATGTTATGAAGAAGTCTTTTTAAAAACACGCGATTATCATCAAAAAAAAACCAGTAAGGAAAGCTCAAAAGTCGGGCGGGGCCGACTATATGATACCCTACACCACTATGCATATTTAGTAGAGCTCTCGTAAAAAGGTTTATACAGGGCATTTCAGAGCTCTATGAGATATTTGGTACAAAATCAAAATCTATCTAATTCTATCGTGCATTGTACGAACTATAGCTATCTCCGAACCGGGTTTCTCCAACTTTTACGTATTAGCTTCTAGACTGAATTCGGTCTTATGTACGAAAATTCAGGTGATTTGGGCTGATATTGACAATTTAGTGCACATTTAACCCGAAATCGGATGAAGATATATATGGGAGCTATATCCAAATCTGAACCGATTTCGATAACATTTAAAACAGCTATTCCTGTGCCCCATCTAATACCTGGTACCAAATATAACGGTTGTGGAGTGAATATTACGAATGTATTGGACTAAAACACTAAATCGGATGAAACATATATATGGTTGCTATATCTATATCTGAACCGATTTTCACTAAATTTGATATACTTGCTTCTAGGCTGAATTTGGTCCGATGTACTAAAATTCAGTCCATTTGGACTTATATCGACCATTTGGTGCACAATTAACCCGAAATCGGATGAAGATATATATGGGAGCTATATCCAAATCTGAACCGATAAAATTACAAACAGCTATTTCTGGGCTGTATCTTATATCTGGTACCAAATATCATTCTTGTGGAGTGCATATTAAGAATGTGAGAGGCTTAAACACCAAATCGGATAAAACATATATATGGGAGCTATAGCTGTTTCTGAACCGATTTTCTCCAAATTTGTTGTATTTGCTTTAAGGCTAATCTCGGTCACATGTGCCAAAATTCGGGCCATTTGAGCTGATATTGGCCATTTGGTGGTCAATTAACCCGAAATCGGATGAAGATATATATGGGAGCTATATCCAAATCTGAACCGATTTCGATAAAATTTAAAACAGCTATTTCTGTGCTCCATCTAATACCTGGTGCCAAATATCACGGTTGTGGAGTGCATAGTAGGAATGTGAGGGACTTAAAGATCAAATCGGATGAAAGATATATATGGGAGCTATAGCTATATCTGAACCGATTTTCTCCAAATTTGATATACTTGCTTCTAGGTCGAACTCGGTTGGGTGTGCCAAAATTCAGGTAATTTGGACTGATAGTGGATATTTGGTGCACATTTAACCCGAAATCGGATAAAGATATATATGGGAGCTATATCTAAATTTGATCCGATTCTCACCAATTTCAATAGGGTTCGTCCTTGGGCCAAAAAATATTGTTTGGAAAGTTTCATCTCAATCGGATAATAAATGCGACCTGCATTTTGTTCACAAGAATACATGGACAGACGGACGGACGGACAGACGGACTGACATGCATAAATCGACTCAGAAAGTGATTCTATGAAGGTTCTCAAAAGTAACTATGGGTCTATCTCGTTTCCTTCTTCATGTTACAAACAAATGCACAAAGACATAATACCCTTACCACTATGTGGTGTAGGGTATAAAAACCAATATTTTAGCGGGTTAATTGATGATAAATGAGACTAAAATCCCGTATTTTTATATAGACTTTGAACTGAAATTTTGGATTTTAAAGATAAATTTTAGGGGTAATTGAATCATATATTGTTTTTAAATAATATTTTCCCTGAACCATTAAATCGTGGATTTAAAAAAAATCCAAATTTCAAATAATTCTGTGGAAAATTGGCTACAATCATCAAAATACAGAATATCGGGAGAATGGGGGCTATAGAAAATAGGGTGAGTTAAAAAAAATCAGCAACAAAGTTAAACGCCATAATTTTTACATTTTTTTTAATTTTATGGAATGAAAGAAGAAAATGTCGGAAATAGCATCAAATTTTAGAATAAGTTTAGATTTGTTCGAATTGGTCACCTTTGGCACGAATTATGGCCTTCAAACGGCCAATGAAAACGTCACACGCTGCCCGAATTTTGCCCATTCCCGGCGAAGCGCTTGCTTGAGATGATCGACACTTTGGTATTTTTTTGGTGCCAACTCCAGACACAATATTCGAACGGTATCCGGAGATTTACAAGACATAAAAGTCCAACGGATTGGTATCCGGAGATTTTGGTGGCCATTGTGCGCTGGAAATGAAGCGAGGAACCTCATTTTGTAATTTCATTCTTTGGTGGCGCGTGCTGAGTGCGATGGTGCTTAGTCCTGTTGGAATGTCCAAGGTCTACGGCCAAAATGCGGTTTGCGTGCCCAAGGCTTTAATACACCCTCCAGAATATTTTCGCGATAATATTCGGCATTTATTCTGATTGATTATATTAATCGACCGTGGATTAATGCGAGCGTAGAGCGACTATCGGCTTTTATGGCAACCATCGGCACACCATCACCATTGCCGGCGCTTGAGTTCTGGTGGCCAACCGAAGGTGCACATTTTCAGCTGACCTTGCTGAACGAATGTTTTCTCATCGAAGAAAATTCAAATTCGCCAGTTCACCGCTTTTGGCCAAGCGAAGCAACTCTTTAGCTCTTTTGAGTCTATTTTCTTTCTGTTGCGGTGTAAGTTCTTGCACTTTTTGGAATTTCAATGGTTTGACCTCGAGCTCATTTTGCAATATTTGCCGAATGGCATATTTCAATATGTTCAGCTCACGAGCCATTTTTCGGCCACTGCGACGCGGACGCCCAAGGACGAACCCTATTGAAATTGGAGATAATCGGTTAAAATTTAAAATATAGCCTATTATTGTGCACCAAACGTGCAATATCAGCCCGAAAAGTGTGGAATTTTGCAAATACAACCAGATTAGGCCTGAAAATAAGTATGCCAAATTTGATATAGCTATAGCTCCCATATATATATTGTTCATCCGATTTGATATTTTCGTCCTTCGCAGCCGCAATAACAATATTTGGGGGAAATATATCAAATGCAGCTCAGAAGTATCTTTGCTAAATTTTATCGAGATCGGTTCAGATTTGAATATAGCTCCCATATATAACTTCGTCCGATTTACATTTTATTGTGCACCAAACGTCTAATATTTGTCCAAATGGGATGGAATTTGGCACATACGACCGAATTGAGTCTAGAAGCTAGTATGTCAAATTTGGTGAAGATCGGTTCAGATATAGCTATAGCCTTCATATATATTATTCATCCGATTTGTTATATTTGTTACCCACAACCGTAATATTCACTCCGTAACAACGATATTCAGGGAAATATATCAAATACAGCTCAGAAATATCTTTGCCAAATTTTATCAAGATTGGTTCAGATTTGGATATAGCTCACATATATATATTTATCCGATTTCAAATTAATTGTGGTCAATACAAGTCCGAATTTAAAAGATACAAATGCTTCGGCATGTTTAGTCCTTTGAACTTTAAATTATAATTATAATCATAGCGTGTATGATTGAATTCTCCCATAAAAACTTTTAATTGTTATGTGGAGCTCTACTAAATTAGCAAAGTGGTGTAGGGTATCATAAAGTCGGCCCCGCCCGACTTTAAGACTTTCTTTACTGGTTTAATTAGTGTTTTTTCCAGATATTGATGGTTCAAATTTTTTCTAGACACCATTGGACTAGGTTAAATTTTTACCAATTTTTTCTAGAGATTTTTTTCTTGTCAATAAACCTCCATATTTGGTTTTACTTTAAAGAAATTTACCAAAAGCCACCGGATCTTCCAACATTTAATAATTTTTCCGTTATGTCTAAAATTATTATTTCGATGAGCTACAAACGGAATAATGAACTTAATATAGCCTCCATTCTATGTATGGTGGAGGCTATAGAAATTACTTATGCAAGTCCACGTCTTCGTATGGCCCCCATATGAGGGTATTCATTTGAGTGGTATTTTTCGACGGTTTTTTTTTAATTTTTCAAGATCCTTCAAAATGAAGGAGAGTATTTAAAGTTCAGCCCGATCGAACTTAGCTGCTTTTTTATTTGTTTATTGTTCTTTTTGCTTGTAAAATTTGGTTATTAATCAGTTGGGCGCCACCCCACCTGCTCTGAAATGTTTTTTTCTTTTTTTTTTTTATTTTTTCTCTTTTTTCAAAAAATATTATTGTAAGTTTTTTTTTTTCGGTTCAGAATCACTTGTATTCGCTTTAATCTATATCCATACAATACAAGTTCTACTGGATTTCTAATTAGCATTCCCTGTAATTGCATTTTTCTCTCTAACTCATCTTTGAAATTTGGACCCTAACAACGAATAAATTCTCGATTCAAATCTGGATAATAATTTCCAGAACTTGATGTTGTGTTTTCATAATTGTTTCATTAACACATGCCAGTTTGAAATGGATAAATGCCACTGGCATCTCAAAACTTACCAGGTATCTTATGAAATGTAATGGATTCTGTAAAGAGAGGGGGAGAGAGAGAAGAGAAAATAATGATATTAATTAAAATGCAGTATTTCCAGTAGGAAAAGAATATTTAATAATAATTGCAGAATGTTAAATGGCTTAACTCTAAATGAGTAATGGATAATGAGGTCTGGAATGAATGGCGAGGGGTGGTGGTTGGGTGATGTAAAGGTGAATTTTGTTGGAATTTTGTAAAGAGCTGACAATTTTCTTTGAAAAATAAAATAAATATCAAATGGGATTGGAAAGAATGTAGGTTTCGACTTGTGTTCAATAGGGTTTTAGAAGGGTTCAATGACTAATTTTCTTATGAAATGGTATTAATTAACGCCACTAATTGGCAGTGTAAAATATGTAAGTCACATATTAAGATACGTCATATGACAGTTCATATCTTATGCAACCCCAATAACAAATAACTGGAATTTTCCGGAGTAACTAAATAACAATTAATATTTTAAAAAATATGTGTATCTAAATTATTAGCAGCATTCTGATTTTAAAATAAATATTTTTCGCCCCTGACTGTTTTGTTACACAAATGTCATTTCTAATTTAATAACAACTTTTAATTATTTTTTTCTAAAATTCTGTAAATACTGGTTGCACTTGGGCTAATTAATGCTAATATGGAAATAAATTTGCATGCGTTTTTTATTTTATTTTTTATTTGTTTTTTTTATTTTAATATTTTGAGACAAGTAAAGCGTTAACTAGACATTTTTATATCGTCAGGTTAGAGAGGGTATACAGGGTGAGATAAAAAAACTGCAACAAAATCAAAAGCCATAATTTTTACATTTTTTTTTTTTTTTGAATTTTATTGAATGAAAGCAAAAAATGTCGGAACTAGCATCAAATTTTAGAAATAATAAGCTCTTTCGAATTGGTCACCTTTGACACGAATTATGGCCTTCAAACGGCCAATGAAACCGTCACACGCTGCCCGAATGTTGCTCTGCGCTATTTTGGCCCATTCCCGGCGAAGCGCTTGCTTCAGGTGATCGACACTTTGGTATTTTTCAGTGCCAACCTTGCTTTCCAAAATACTCCAGACACAACAGTCCAACGGACGGATTGGTATCCGGAGATTTTGGTGGCCATTGTTGATGGTGCTGAGTCCTGTTGGAATGTACAAGGTCTGTGGCCAAATGTGGGTGTGCCCAATGCTTTAATACACCCTCCAGAATATCTTCGCGATAATATTCGGCATTTATTATGATGCCACGGTCGATTAATACGAGCGGAGAGCGGCTGTTATGGCGGCTCACACCAAACGGCCAAAAACCGCCTTATTGAAATAACGATTTTAGATCCTAGGTCTCTTTGGACCAAATCCGTTTCAGGACATTTGGAGTCGTTCTAGTGATGTCCGTCCGGCCATCTGTCCGTCTGTCTTGCTGGTGAGCACAATAACTCTCGAAGGGATTATCCGATTTGATATAAACTTGATACATCGTAATAATATTATCAAACTTAAACCGAGTTCGGAAATGGGCAATATCGGTCCACTCCTTCTGGTTCCTCCCCCACAAAAGGTCGAAATTTTCCAAAATAATATCTTACTGCACAGAAAGAGATAGGATGTCCCGATTTTGCTCCAACTTTGCATATCTTAGTATTTGCATCAGTGCTAGGTCAGGTGCCAAAATGGACAATATCGGCCCACTCCATAAAGTACCTCCCCCACAAAGAGTGAAAATTTTGAATATTTATAACTCTTATAAAATTTGATGTGAGAGTTCGGTTATCTTCAAATTACACATATCTCAATATTTTTATCAACCCAAGGTCTGGTGTAAAGATGAAGTACATCGGTCCACTGCTTCTGGTGCCTCCCCTACAAAAGTGTTCACATTTAGAATAATCATCAAGCTCCCATCCTCCCCACAATGGGTCGAAATTTAGAATAATCTTGAAGCTCATATGACGCAAAATTACCATCCGATTCCATTTAGACTCGGCACATCTCAATATTTCTATCAACGCCAGATCTGTAATAAAGATGATGGAGATCGCACCATATCTTCTGGTACCTCCCCCACAAAGGGTCAACATTTGGAATAACCAAAAACGATTATAAAATCCGAAATATGCCACCGGTTCTCTTCATATTTCACACATCCCATTATTTCTACTAATATAAGGTCTGCTGTGAAGATGGTAGAGATCGGGCCATTCTTAATGGTACCTCCCCACAAAGGGTCAAAATTTGGAATAACCAAAACGATCATAAAATCTGAAAAAGGCATCCGGTTCTCTTCAAATTTCACAAATCCCATTATTTCTACTAACACAAGATATGCTCTAAAGATAAGATATATCGGTCAACTCCTTCTGGTACCTCCCCCACAAGGGTCAAATTTTTGAATGAATATGAATCTCGTAAAACGTGAAATTAAGTTCAGATTCAATACAGACTTAGCACATCTCAATTGTTCCATGAACACAAGATCTGTTGTAATAATGGGAGCGGTCGGACCATTTCTTCTGGTACCTGCCCCACATAGGGTTCAAGATTTTGAAAAACAAAAAGGTCAAAGAAAGCGAATTAAGCATCCAACTCTCTTCAAAATTCACACACACACACAAACATTTTTGCTAACACAACATTTGTTGTGAAGATGATATATAGCTGCGAACTCCTTCTGGTAGCTCACCCACAAAGCGCCACAATTTTCAATATCCATGAAGCTCAGAAAACGCAAAAATAACTTCAGATTCCATTCAGACTTGCCACATCTCAATGTTTCCATCCGACAGAAAATCTGTCATAATGATGGTAGATATCGGAAAATTTCTTCCAGGGATCAAGTTTTGAAAAACAAAACGCTCAAAGAAAGCGAAATAAGCAGCTATTTCTCTTGAAATTGCACACATACAAACATTTTTGCTAACACAAGATCTGTTGTGGAGCTGATATATAGCTGCGAACCCTTTCCGGTACGTCACCAAAGACCACAAAGAGTCACAATTTCCAATACTTTTATCTGACATAACTTGCGAAACAAATCAGCGATTCTTTACAATTTCAATATCTCAACCAGAAACCTGGCATGGATATGGAATTTAAGATTCCGCATAAAATTGGATAACATTTTTCGATTTTCTTGTAATTTTGCCAATACCAATATTTTTATCTCTATTAGATGAAGTATGGAAATGGAATGGACTTCGGTCGACTATGTCTGGTACCTCTCGTACATTTTAACATTTTCTAAAAATTATCACATATCTCGTATAAAGTGAAAGGAAGTAGTCGATATAGTCCAAACCTGGCACGTCGTAATATTTATATCATATTTATGTAGATCCGATACGAAGTGGACTTTATTGACCCCTTTCTTCGGAACCTACTCCTAATAGGGTGAATAATTCGAAAAATCATAACAGAAGTCAAAGTATGTTTAAATAATCCAACATTGGCTGAGGGTACACAACTGTCGGCAAAACCGACTGATACTATTTCACCTGTTTTTATACCCTCCACCTTGGAAGGAGGGTATATTAACTTTGTCATTCCGTTTGTAACATCCTTAAATATTCGTCGTAGACCCCATAAAGTATATATATTCATAATCAGCATAAAATTCTAAGTCGATTTAACGATGTCCGTCTGTCTGTCTGTCCGTCTGTTGCAATCACGATACAGCCCACATTATTTGACTTAGAGCGCCAAAATTTAGCAGAACAATTTGTATTTTGTCTAGGATAGTTAGTATTGAAAATGAGATATATCGGTCCACGTTTTATAGTATAATCCCCATATAACGGTACCTCCCGATATTCGGTATCTTGATGGTTGTTGCCACATTTTTTCACTGATTTGTCTAAAAATTGATATTTGTAGATCATAATGGGTCCTAGTTCGTATGGAGAGACATTGCATGTATAGGTCCACGCTTTGGTATAGTCCTCATATAAAGGTACCTCCCAATATTCGGTATTTCGATTATTTTTACCACATTTTTTCGCTGATTTGTCTGAAAATTGGTATTTGTAGGTCATAATGGGTTCCAGCTCCGGTGGCGAAACATTGCATGTAAGGGTCCACGTTTTGGTATAGTACCCATATAACGGTACCTCTTGATATTCGGTAATTTAATAATTTTTGCCACATTTTTTCATGGATTTTTCTAGAAATTGGTATTTGTAGGTCATAATGGGTTCTAGCTCCTTTGGCGAAACATTGCATGTGTAAGTCCACGATTTGGTATAGCCCCCATATAACGGTACCTCCCGATATTCAGCATTTTAATGGTTTTTGACACATTTCTTCGCGGATTTGTGAAGAAATTGCTATTTGTTGGTCTTAATGGGTTCTAGCTCTTGTGGCGAAACACTGTATGTATAGGTCCACGTTTTTGTATAACCCCATATAGCCGTATTTCCCGATATTCGGTAATTTGATGGATTTTGGAACATTTTCCCATGAATATGTCTAAAAATTGGAATTGGAATTGGGTCTTAATGGGCTCTAATGTTTCCTTTACCCTAAGGTGGAGGGTAATAAAATTAATGTTTTTTACTTGTTTTTTTCTAAAATTCAATTTTTTTCTAAACACTAGTTGCCCTTGGGCTAATTAATGCTAATATGGAAATAAATTCGCTTTCGTTATTAAATACAAAAAAAAAAAACTACATCTGTGTTTATTTCAATATTTTATTTGAATATAATAAACTGAGACACATGAATTATAGACAAGACATATAATATTTTTATAATTCACTTGAATTTGAAAGTGAAATCAAAATTTTATAATTTTTTTTTTTTTATTCATTGTAATGAAAAATCCACTCGGTTCTAGTTATTAGACTTTCTTTACGCATTACCAGGCTTTTTATGAAATCCTAAAATTATTCTCCAAATTCTAAGTCATTTGCTAAAACATGTTTGCCTAATGGTTTTGACACAGAAACAAAACTCGAAACACAAATGCCCAAAAATTCTCACAGCCAAATTTTTCACACAACAGAAAAAAATATCATTT